CTGTTTTCCTATCAAGAAAAGGAGTTTTTTTTCCTAACTGTTCAACATCACTTGGCTACATTGGCAGATTTTATAAGCATCTCCCACTCACAAACACACACACACACACACACACACACACACTCAAGTCTCAATCTGAGCATTTTAGCTGCGTATTTCTGGCACCCAAGTGGATAAAGAGCCCACACCAATTTCTGCTCCCTTTGCATACTAAAAAACCTGAAATAATCATGGCAATTAGAGATAATTACAGTTATTTTGAAGTTGGAATTCAAGCTGGAATTCAACTAGGCATCAAGGAGAGGGAAGGAAAAGGGGGAAGGGGGGGAGGAAAGGAAGGCAGGAGGAGGGGGATTAAATTTGATGAGGGGAATGGCTGTGCTTCTCATGCAAAAACTGCTCCCTGCTTCCCTTGGCTGTGTACAAATTGTGCATAAATCACCGCATGCAAGACAATTACTTTAGAAGCTAATTTCTTCAGCCTGGCAGGGAAGTTTTGTCTGCAAAAGCCTTAAGCAGCTCAGAAAATGTTTTGGAGCCATAAAAAAAAAAAAAACCACTTCCCACCATCGTTGTTCACAGGTGCCTCCCTTTGCATTGATGTTTAGGCATTGATGACTGCATAGAAACAAGGGTTGGGTGGAGAAACATGTCAGATGCTTGTCATTCACCACAGCAACTGGCATGTGTACACATGTATGCGCATTCCAGGACCCTCAAAGCTTACCCAGCTGTGAGACAAGAAAGACACAGATAGCTATCTTTAATGCTAGTTGTGAGGTTTGTTGATTAGGGTCAGGAGCATTTAATTGCACAACCAATTAAATATGAATCAAAAGTGTGTAGCGGCAGCCAAAAAAGCCAATGCAATCCTAAGCTGCATTAACAGAAGAATGCAATCAAGATCAAGTGAAGTACTAATATCACTCCATAAAGCCTTAGTAAGACCACAGTTAGAATGCTGCATCCAATTGTGGTCACCACACTATAAAAAAGATGTTGAGACTCTAGAAAGAGTGCAGAGAAGAGCAACCAGGATGATTAGGGGACTGGAGGCTTAAATACATGAAGAATGGTTGCAGGAACTGGACATGTCTAGTCTAGTGAAGAGAAGGACCACGGGAGACAGGATAGCAGTCTTCCAGTATTTGAGGGGCTGCCACAGAGAGGAAGGAGTCAAGCTAATTTCCAAAGCACCTGAAGGCTGGACAAGGAATAATGGATGGGAACTGAACAAGGAGAGATTTAACCTGGAAATAAGGAGAAGTTTTCTACCTGTGAGAACAATTAACCAATGGAACAGAAGTTGCCTTCGGAAGTTGTGGGAGCTTCATCACTGGAAACTTTCAAAAGACTGGACTGCCATCTGTCAGAAATGGTGTAGGGTTGGGGGGGAGGGGTTGGAGTAGATGACCTAGATTTGTCACCCTTCCAATTCTGTCAATCTGTTAACCACAATTAAAATAAGGCATACATAAAATTTAAAATATAAAATACGTTAAAATAGGTACAGATCTTGCCCAGAAACTAGCAATGTTAATTATGTTCAATCGAACCCCCACGAGGTCCTCAGGTGTGCACTGATCAGGGCACAAAGGACAGGTATACATATGTGTTGTTGTTTGCAAGTCAACACAATCGAAGAGAAGAAGCCATCAGATAGCCCCATTAGTTCAGAGAGTCTCTCTGGATCTTGTTGTATCCGTGCACAGTCTATTCAATGATTTCCATACTTGTGAAGCTGTGGGACGAAGGCAGAGTCTTGGAAATGGCAAGAGGAAATTCTTGCCTTTTTCCCCCTAATGAGTTCATTGGGATGGAGACTCTCTGAATGCTTTGAAACACTTTCTCTCTAGTTGCCATTTAAGACAGGGATATAGTTACCAAACTGAAGGCCCGGGGGCCAGATCTGCCCACCGTAGTATTTAGATCTGGCCCACGGGACTGCCCTGGAAACAGTGAAGGAGCGGCTCGTGGTGCCTCTGCCAGCAAAAACCGAGCTCGGGAGGACGCACTGTCGCTGGCATAGAGTTGCAGGCCATTGCAGCTGGAAACGGAGCTCGGGAGCCTATTTTTGCTGCTGCCACCACCACAGGCACCCCGAACATGAATGACATTGAGCTGGCCACACACTCCAATCCCCACAACCCCAAGGTCAAACACAACCCTGATGCAGCCCTCAATGAAATCGAGTTTGACACCCCTGATTTAGGAGATAAGATGGAATCTTTTCGGAGTGATTTCAAATGCTTTTCCTCAGCTTTCCACATGGGCTGAATTGCTGTTTTTATGAGAAAAGCTGCCAACTGGCTCACCTCCTATCTTTTATTTATGTTGAATCTCTTTTTCTTTCATCAACAACTCTCAAATATATGTGCATCTAGGCAGTCCTTGAATTATGATGGTAATGGAGCCTGCCCCTCACAATCATAACTCAGCAGAAGTGGGCTATGAAGGCAGGACCCAAATTGCTTGTCTTTGAACTGTGAGAAAGGATATCTGACCCTTTGATTAGGATCGTATACTTGCTACTGTACTATAAAGATAATAATGGTGGTTCGGTGTCTTGAATAATATTTCAACTACGTCTGGACTTTAATTCCCAGAATTCCCTAGCAAGCATGGGTTGGCTGAGGAATTCTGGGAATTGAAGTCCACACATCTTAAAAATTATTGTGGTTACAAAGCTGATCTCGAACCACAATGAAGTCACTGACCAATCACCCAAATTGGTTCATTTACCATTCATTACCATGAGTTGTGAATTCAGTTCATTTACTTATAGTTATGCATAGCACAGGAACTCAGCCATTTCAGGTAGTCCTTGACTTCTGGCTGTAATTGATCCTCAAGTTATAGTCTTAAGTTTGGCAGTTGTTAAGCAGCTCCTGATTTTACACCTTTTTTGGTGGTTAAGGGAACATCTCCGTTGTTAAGTGGACCTGTTTTACTTAATGGGCATTTTTTTGCCAGAAACTGGAAGTAAACACCATAAACTGGCAAAAACTGCTTAAAAAGTCATGTGACTGTGGGATACTGCAAATATCCACAAATGTAAGCGGACTGCTAAGCGTGCTAACGTGTAATCATGTGACTCTGGGGGAGCACAGCTGTTGGAACTCCAGAACCAGGTTGCAAGTACATCTGGAGAGGTCCGTTGTAACTATGTCACTAGGCAAGAGGTACAAAACAAGGGTGTCAAACTCAAGGGTGCTTAAATCCGGCCCGTGGAGCCAGCCTGGGAATATCAAAGGACCTGCCCGCAGTGCCTCTGCCGCTGAAAACGGGCCACATGCAGCCCCCGTGTAGTTTTGGTCACTAAAGTTCTGCAGGAGGCCGTTCAGGCTGAAAATGACGCGGTGGGGGTGTCCATCCTGTTTTGGCTGGCAGGGTGCTGCAGGAGGCGCCATCCGGTCATCCCCCCACTCTCCAGCACACACACACCCAGCGGCCCATGGAGAACTACAATGCTGATCCAGTCCTCAAAAGAAATCCAGTTTGACATTCCTGGTGTCAAACTTCTTGAGAGTACTGGTTAATGGGCATTTCTTGGTGTAGTTTGAACCAATTCTGTCAGACAATCTTCAGTCATGTAGGTTTGGGTGAAAACAGGTGTGGGCCAAAGACCACACCTGCCTAGCATCCTCCAGATGTTTCTACAATGTTCTTTGCCTTTATTCTATCTCTATAGATTTCCTTATCAACGGGCCATCGTCTTCTATTTTTTTTCCCCAAGCAAGTGACCATCTTCTTGGGACCAAGAACCAGGATGCTGTGGCCTTCCCAAGCTTGCAGAGCAAATATTTCCAGCATGATCACTAGCTCCATGATGATTAGAGTTTATATTTTGTGCATGTTGCTATGGGGTGGATTCAGGGTAACTGAGGAACCATTTTGACCCAATAAGATTGGCCCATCTCACTCGCTTCAGCAGAAGAGGCCTACTTCGGATCCCACCTGCTGAAGAATTTTGGTCTTTTGTCCTGTGGCCCTCACCCTTTGGAATAATCTCCCATTGAAGGGGTGCTTGATTCCCATACACTTGAAAACCTGGCTTTGTTGACTGGTCTAGGGCCCTTTCCCCAAAAGGGAGGCTCTATGCTGGGAGTGACTGATGGGTTAGAGAGAAAATAGTATTTATTCTTTAATCATGTTTGTATTGTTGAGAGCCACCCAGAATTGTTATAATAGCCAGAGGGATGACATATAAATTTAATAAAGTCCTAAAGATGATAATCCTCATCTTATGACAACTGAGCCCCAAATTTCTGTTAAGGGATTACATGAATTTTGCCTCATTTTATGACCTCATTGCCACAATTAAGTGAATCATTGCAGTTACATGATTAAATGAATCTTGCTAAAGGTTTTCACATGACCACAGGACACTGCAACTGTCATAAATGAGTCAGTAGCAACGTGTCTAGATTTTGATCACGTGACCATGGGGATGCTGCAACGGTCACAAGTGTGATAAAAACGATCATGGCAGTGCCGTTGTTAATTTTGAAGTCACTAAATGAACTGTTGTAAATTGAGGATTACCTGTAACTTAGCACTTCCCCTCCCCATACCCCAAATTGTGTACATACTCCACTCCAAAAACCCCACGCACCCCAAAACAAAACTCAACACCGTTCTTAAATGTGTCAATTCGATTTTAATGTTTTTGAAAAATAAGAAGGGTTAATCTGAGCAACTGCGGTTAGGATGGGAAGGATTCGTTTCTCGCCCTCCATGAAGTGAGCTTATTCACAGTTAAGACTCATGCACAGAATTAAAGAAACAAAGACAGTCTTCTCATTTTTATTTCCAATGAAGGACGGTGTTTTCTGTAAGACGGTGCCCCTTTGAACCCCTAGGCACTTACTTTGCCACTGCCTCCCTTGCCTCCTTGGATGGGGAAAAAATAACAGTGAACACAACAACTGTTCCAACTTTTAATATTTGTTTTGCTTAATAAAAGTTTCTACAGAGAGCCGGTTTTTGTTTGTTTGTTTGTTTGCTTTGGATTGGGCACATAGCGCATGTTGTTTATTATTATTTGGATCTGTCTTGTTTTTCAGACACAGCCCGCTCCCCAATGAGGGGTGACTGTCCTATTTCTCTAATCAATAACTTTGCTTTTTTTCCTTGAAGATGTTTCGCTTCTCATCCAAGAAGCTTCTTCAGTTCTTGGATGACAAGGGAAAGGTTTTCAAAGGAAAAAAAAAAAACAAGGAGTCCAGTTGCCTTTTGAAAAAGCAGCTTTGGGACAACCATGTCCTGGATGACTGAGAATCTCCGTGAATCCAGGAGTTAAAGTGCTCCTTCAGTAAGTCTTCTTGCTTCCTCACTCTCATTTGTTTTTAAGACAACTGCTTCCCCATATGCCCCACCCCCAAATAGAATTTCTAGGCTCTTTGAACTGCGAAAAGCAACCAGAGATGTTAAAGCTATCACTGCATTTCTTACGTAACCTTTGCAAAAAGAAAAAACAATCCCCACTTAATTATTTTTTAAATTGTTGCAACAGAACTTAAAAGTATTCCTGTACAACCACAGATTAAGGAAGCTAAGCCCAGAGACCTTTCCTTGCACGTTCAGGAGCTGGTTAGGTACAGAGCTGCTCCTGATGGCCTTCTTTTTGTTGGGTCAAGAGGGGACCAGAATAGAAAGCCAACAGAAGAGAGCCTCTTAAGAGATGAAGGTCTATCCATCTTTACTGGAGACATTTAAAGCACAGCAACATTTAAGCCACTGATTTTGGACAGGATCTTCCCTGCACAACTAGAGGACGTGAGCTACAATAAGGCAATACTGTACGGACTCAAAAAACAGGGGCATAGAAAATCCTGATCACATCCATTGGGCATCACGACAGAATCTTGGACACACAGAGTAGACATCTTTCATTTGAAAAATGCTTTGGAAAACGCCGATACAGACCAGGCCAGCCAATTCTGGGGAGGGGGGGGCGTCTCCTCAAGAGGATACCACGCATTTTACAAATCCGTATCAGCTTTGTTCGCTCAATTGGTGTTGGAGGCAGCACGGGCGAGTCAAAGAAAAGCAAAGGAAATTGGGCCAAGACAACACACAGACACGCTCACACACCCAGGGCTGCCTCCGATCACTATTTAGAGCTAAGGCGACTTCATGGGACAATAGTGCCATTTCGGGAAGGGGAAGCTTTGACAGGAATTTAAAAATAATTTAGTTAACTTTTAGACAGATTCTACACCTAACAGTGTTTTATTTTTTTCCTCTGCTAGGGTAAACCCCCAGCCTTCCTTCTACAAGAAAGTTAAACCCAAAGATTTGTTTTGTGGAATTGAAGTTTCTTATTTTATTTTTATTTCATTTCTTCTTCTCACTTAAAGGCCATTGTTGAAGCATTTTACAGTTCTCCTAGTGCAAAAGAACAGAAAAATAAGAAGCAGGAACATAAAAAGGAAAAAAAATAAAAGAGGAAGAGGGGATAATACACTGCCTTTCTTCTCCTAGGCAATCCCCCCAAAACAGAGAAAGAAATGAGAATTGTAGGTATTTTTTACGGCAACATATACACATTAAATATAGTATCGAGTCCATGCAGTGGCGCAGCCATGGTTAAAGAGCTGGAGCCTGTCTTTAGTGCTACAGTCCATGTTCCTCATCAGCCGTGACCCCCACAGGCGCTAGCCTGAACCCCTAGCCGGATTTGAAGAGGAGAATCGCCACTTGGCCCAAGTAGAAGTAAATGAAGTGCTTCGTCTCATGCGTTACATAGCTACCGAAGTTCCTGCCCACGATGCAGTGCCAGGTGGGGTTGTATTTCTTGTCAAATTCCTGGAGAAGAAGCAAAAGCAGGAAGGAAAAATGAAAATCAGTGATTTGTGCAGAGAGCATTTTCAGACATGCACTCAAGCCTTGGCTTATAAAAGGAGAAAGGGGACATGAGCGCCTGCAGTTGGGAAAGAAACCGAGGCCTGCTGTGTAATGTAGAAAAGGGCCATGGCTTTTGACAGCACAATGGAGGCCACCATCTTGAATTTTTGGACCAGCCCTGAGGAATAAGGGTGGGTCCAAAAAGTCAAAATGGCAGCTGTGTGAGGAAAACTGTCCCTGCATTGATTTATGTGCCATCAGACTCTTACCAACAACTCAGTTACAGTAGATGGTCTCCATAAATTGCCAATTGCTTTCAATTTTCTATCCCTATGGTTTTCTTGGTAATAATACAAGAAAAAAATGTAATACTATGGGGCCTTTTACACACTATGAATTGATCCTTTTGGTATTGTTCCTAAGGTGACCATCAGCCTCTGGCATCTTCCACCACGGTGCTTTTCACAATTTTAACCACTTTAATCTGGCTGGGGAATTGTGGGAGTTGAAGACCACAGAGCTTAAAGCTGACCAGGTTAAGAAACAACGCTCTATATAGCAGGGACCTTGGCAAATTTTTTAAGATTTGGGGATTTCAATTCCCAGCATGGCTGGCTGAGGAATTCTGGGAGTTGCAGTTCCTAAGTCTTAAAAGGTGCCAAAATTGGACATTCCTGCCCTACAGTATTGTTGCTGTCCAATGCAGGGGCCTGCTTGCTTTAACTATGCAGCTGGAATAAACTTCACAAATTTAGGTGACAGGGAATATATGCTTTTGGCATATACTCCCAGGAGTTTTGATTGTATTCTTCTAGCCCATCTCAGTTTTAGAAATCCTTCTGGACCACCTCTAAAGTCAACCAAATGACACTTTTTAGTGTGACAGTATTAAAAATACATGGCAGGATTGTGCCAACTCTATTTTTCCTTTTACAAAATGGACTTGAGTGTTTCTCTCAAGAGAACATCTTCTCCACATACTCTAGTCTTCTCTTGACTTTGCACAATGCTTCAAATATTATTGGCTAAAACTACCACCAATCTCTTGCCCTGGGAATACAGGTAGTCCTCAACTTACAGCAGTTCATTTAGTGACTAGTGAAGTCACAACAGCACTGAAAAAAGTGACTTTTGATGCTTACAACCATCACAGCATACCATGGTCATGTGATGAAAATTCAGAAGCTTGGCAACTGGTTCATATTTATGACAGTTGCAGTGTCCCAGGATAATGTGGTCACTTTCTCACCCTTCTGACAATAAGTCAATTGGAAAGCCAGATTTACTTAACATGTTACTAACTTAACAACTGCAGTGATTTACTTAACAGTGCAGTTCAGTGGCAAGAAAAGGTCACAAAACTCATTTAAGAGATGCTTCACTTAGCAACATAAATTTGGGGCTCAATAGTGGGGATAAGTCAAGGACTACTTGTATGGGGTAAGCCAAGGGAACGTGGGAACCTCAAAGATTTACTATCTAGCTGTCTGCCTCTGATCATTTCAATTATTTTTCAACATAAAATCTCACACTCCATGGCCTGTAAACTGCATCATATATAAAGTGAACCACTCTTATTAATCGTGAAAATATATTTTTTACAGATAGTCCTTGATTTGTGACCATTTGAAGTTCCAATGGGCCTCTCAAGGAGTATATATGATCTGGTTCCAATGTCCCCCATGGTCATGTGACTGCATTTTGGGGCACTCAGCAACTGGCCTGCATATACAGCTCTTTGCAGTGTCCAGTGGTCATATTACTTTAACATTCTTTTTGTAAAAACAAGCTTTTACTTCCAGTTTTCAGAAAACTAGCCCACATGAAACAATTAGTTCACTTAACGACAGCAGAAGGTTGCAGGATCCGTTGCAAGTTAACTGCTCTTTTGAGTTCTAGATAACAAGATATTCCTCCTCCTTTCCAAATTGCCATCTACCACATTTTCTCAGGCAATTTAATCCATTTTCCATTTAACGCACCAATGTTTTCCAATCTACAGATTTCCACAACAGAAGAATGGTTGGTGAAGTTAATGGAACTATCTTAGATGGTGAAACTATTTTAATTAAAGAAAATATTTTGTCTATCTTTGTTTCTACATGGAGGTTTACTTTGGGACTTTTTGCTTGAAACTGAAATGTAATTTTAATGTTGGGATCTGATGATTAAAGAGTTTACAGTTGCAGAAATACTGTGTACTATTGAATTTTGGAGCAAAAGGTTAATGTTTATTTGTACAGGTTTAATTTCTCTTCCTTCCATTCCATCTAATAGGTGCATTTGGTGGAAACCAGAAGTAAATGCTGAAAACTGGCAAAAACCCTCTGAAAACCAGAATAATAGAATTAAGAGTTGGAAGGTACCTTGGAGGTCTTCTAGTCCAACCCCCTGCTCAAGCAGGAGACCCTATACCATTCCAGGCAAGTGACTGTCAAACTCTCTTCACGGAACCAGTCCTCAGTGTCCAAAACGTTAGGGGCCGCTATCTTAAAAGCCTCCAGTGATAAAGCACCCACAACTTCTGGAGTCAAGCCATTCCACTGAATAATTGTTCTCATTATTAGGTAATTTCTCCTTAGTTCTAGGGTGCTTTTCTCCTTGATTAGTTTTCATCCATTATTTCTTGTCTTGCCTTGTAGTGCTTTGAATAGGTTGAAACCGCCCCCTCCCACCCCCCAGTGGCATCCCCTCAAATACTGGAAGGCTGCTTTCATGTCACCCCCAATCCTTCCTTTTCACAACCGTGGTCAGGGGATGTTGCAAATGGCCATAAATGTGAACCTGTTGCCAAGTGCCCAAAATATAACCAGATGATCATGGGATGTACACCTTTTAAAGGGCCTATCATAACACTAAATGTTCATTAAGCAACTGATAATTAAGGATTACCTGTGCACAGAATGTTTGTGCTTATGTTTATGAATGTGTAAAGTGCCAGTTACCCATTTAAATCACGAGTCTCGAGCCAAACGTCCAAAAATTAAAAAGGATTTAATGGGAGTCTGGGTGTACCAGACTCTGACGCACATCATTCATTGTCACCCATGACCCTGGTTCTCCCCCACCCCCTGGGTATATCATAATTCATATTCTCCAATGGGACACATCCATAGCCAAGAGTCATCAATCATGCTCTCCAGTTAAGACTTTTGCGAGGCAGAAACTTTGGTCTCTCTTTGAAAACATTTATGAAATGCAGTTTTGGTTTGCAAGCTGCTGCACTGCTCCCCCCTCCCTTTCTGTTGGCCATTCTAAAAAGACCATAGAAATATTTTATGAGTTGACATAAAGAGAACTGAGCAGGGTATTGATGCCAATTCAGTAGGATGATCCGACAAGCATCTTTCCTGACCTGATAACAATTTCATTTTAAAACTTATATTAAAAGTTTGCAACAAAAAGAGGTCTAAGTAAGGTACATTCTCTATCTTTCTAATAAAGAGAGAAGTTGGCTACATCCCCTTGATGTATCAAAATTTAAAGGTAGAGTTTTACTTTTCAAAGGGTGAAAATTAGTCTGATGTATATACAGATCTATGCTATAATAGCAATTATTATTTATAAGGACTCTACTGAGAGAACCCTTCCAGCATGCTGTTTCTGCTGTCTAAAGGCAGAGGGACTGGCAGCTTTAAGGATTTAAACATTCAAAGAGAAGGCCTCAAATTCATACAATGACCTAAAGTCTTTTTCTACCAAACATCTGACACTATGGCAGTGACAGAACAAACATGTAACACTTTAGAATTTTAATCAGGAGTCATAAACATCTTTTATTTTGGCACAATGCATGGGGAAACTGTTACACATAAACAAGTGCTAAAAAATAGATACACATAAATAAAATATTTAGAGTGGGGCCTCTTCCTTTTAATAAGGCATTATGCTCATTGGAAAAAAAATACATATGCACCATTGGTTCATAAATGTGTGACTGATTTCAATTTGACATGTTGCCTAAACACAAACACTGTGATTTAGAAGAGATTATTTAATAGCTCAGGGTTGAACTGTGGAGGTCTTTGGTGCTCTCTGAGCGTGGTTGTTTTCTTGCAGACGTTTCAGTACCACACCGGGTAACATCATCAGTGCTGATGATAACCTAGTTTAGTAATGAAACATCTGCAAGAAAACAACCACGCTCAGAGATCACCTGGGACCCCACTGTGATGGTTTTTGGTTTAATGTACGTTAAGCACAGTGACTCAGTTCTTAAGTCAAGGATCACCATTAATACCTGGCTTTTCCACATTTGCATTGCCAGTTATTTTTTCCTTACACCCTGAAACCTAAGTCTTCTTAATCTACCTAATTTAATTTATAATTTTAATTTATATTATTTCAGTAATAATTAAAAGATAATTATTATACATTAATTTATAATTGAATTAACTAAATTAAATCTACTTCATCCTGAGGTTCTGAATCTTCAGAGATAGGCAGCTGTGTTAACTGTGCACTTAATCTTAACTCTGCTCCCCAATCCATTAGCGACCTTCACTCTTCCAAAAAGCTTTCACTGTAACAATTCTTGCAAATCAATTCGGAATTTGGTTCCAGTAGAAAGTATCACTTTTTTAAAAAATTCCCCGCTTAATGTTTATTTTGTCTAACAGCTTCGAATTAAAAAATAAACAACTGAAAGCAGAACATGATATTAAGCCTTCCAATTCAGAGTGTTACTCAAATAAAATATGTACATTCTGTCCTTAGTTTGGTTCCGAATATCTCTGGGTGAGACAACCAGAAGAAATCTTTCTTCAAAACCCTGCAATCAATAGTGCACGCAGAATTTAGATAGGCCAATTATACTGCCTTGTTTTGGTCATTACCCCAAATTGTAGCAAGCTTTTTTCAGTTTGATTATTTTGTATTAAGACACTAATCATAGTTTGCTACTGTTTTTCAAACTTGGCAACTATTGAGATGCGTGGATTTCATCTCCCAGAATTCCCCAGCCAGTAATGCTGGTTGACTAGGATTCCTTGCTTAAGGAAACCAGTCTGTGATGGGCAAACCTTTCTTCAATAATAATCAGACAGAATCTTCTGAATCAAATACAGCAGTTAAGAGAAAAGCTGTAATGGCTTTGAAAATTCACTTAAGGTTTTTCCAGAAATATCTGGCTGGCATTGGCTCAGATAAGCCAGGATAGGTAGTTCTTGACTTACAATTAGTCACTTGGTGACTGTTTGAAATCACAATATATCTCCCCCAAAGCTACTTACAACCCAGATTAGACGCTCCCCTTCAGTGATGTGCCTGCATTTTTGGCACTTGGTAAGTAGCCAACATCTACAGCCTTTTGCACCATCCCATTTTCTGCAGAAAACCGGCATTTACTTCATTATTGATCCATTTGCAATACATTTGGGGGAGAAACCCTTGAAATTGTTGTAGCAAGAGTTGGTACATTCCAACAACTCTCCGCCTAACTTTTTTACTTTGGCAGATGAAGTTGTTTAGATGAGCAACAAAAAGTCTCAAGATCAACTAAATTTTGGTTCAGATGCCATGAATTCAACCTTTTAAGATACTTTTGGCACTGGATGATTGAGATACCAACATTGACATACGACATTTTCAGCAAAACTGCCCAATTGCAAACAATGAACAAAGTGATTCACTTAACACAACTGCCAAAAAGCATGTTATGAAATTGGTCAGTTGCATGATGACTCAGTTTACAACTGTCACAACTTACAAACATTAGCCACGGTGGCACAGCGGTTAAGAGTGCAGTACTCCGGCTGCCTGCTATTTGGCAGTTCGAATCTCACCAAGCTCAAGGTTGACTCAGCCTTCCATCCTTCCAAGGTGGGTAAAATGAGGACCCAGATTGTTGGGGGCAAGAGGCTGACTCTGTAAACCGCTTAGAGAGGGCTGTAAAAGCACTATAAAGCAGTATATAAGTTTAAGTGTTATTGCCTTTAACAGGCAGGCTCTATTAGGGTCTTAAGTCAAGGACTACATGTAGGGCTATACAACCCCACCCCATCACGCTTTGCAGACAGAAACGTACCTTCTTGATGTATGCTGCAATATCCTTCTCTATATTATACTTCTCCATGGCCTGAGTAGCACAATCGACAGCATCCTGCTGCATGTCCTCAGACATGTCAGCATTTTTGATCACAGCCTTTCTGTCAGACATGATGGACCTGTCTGAGAAGATACCAAAGATGAAGACCATGTCAGAACTCAATTTATCCCAGATCTAATTCCAAGAAAGCACCTAAAACCTACAGTCTTGCTTTTATTATCTGCTGAAGGAGAGGTGGTAACTGCAGGTAATTGTACGGAGGAAGCAGAAAATTACACAGGTCATTAACTACAGGTGATTTCACAGAGGAAGCAGGAAATTCCATATCTCTGAAAGAACATCCATTATTCTTTGATGTTACTGGGGAAGACAATCCCACTCATCACAGGAGCTATTTCTCACAAGTGCCCAGGCATCCTTCACAAATGTAAGAAATCCCTAATCCACAAAGAATGCGTCCCAGAGATAGTCCTCAACTTAATAACCACTTGCTTAGCAACTGTTTGAAGTTATGGTGGTGCTGAATAATGTTTGACTTGCAAGTGGTCCTTGCCTTTATGATGGTTGCAGCATCTTGCTTGCCATGTGATTGCAATGTGTGATCTTCCCAGCCTGCTTCAGACAATGTCAATGGGAAAATGAGCAAGGAAGGACACAAGTCATAATCACGTTGTCTCAATGACTACAGCATTTAATGAGTACAGCAAAAAAAAAAAAAAGTCCCAAAGGTGAGGACTCCCTGCAGACAGTTGGTCATTTGCATTCATTTAGTGAGACTCCTTGTGTCCTCTGGGTCAGCTGAGTGGTGCAAATGGGTGTGAGGCCTTCTTGGCACTGTTGAAAGGACTGTGTTGTAAACTGGAAGATAGATGATATCATATTCCAATGATCTGTTAAGAGAGGGTTGTTCAATTTTGACACAGATGGCCTCTTTCAAACTAGCAATCCTCTCTGTCCAAAATGTGGCAACTTTTTAAGATTTGTGGACTTCAACTCCCAGAATTCCTCAGCCAGCATTCTGGGAGTTGGAAGTCTTAAAAGTCGCCACATCTCAAGACCCTGAACGAGATGCTACTATCCCAATGAGGGATGTTGCCTGCTTATCAAATTCTCAACACAATGACAGAAGAAGAATTCCCATCAAAGAAGGAAGCAGAAGTTAACCAACAGATTTGTAAATAAATTGCTGGTCCACATGGTATCAACGTTCTCTGCCAGTTATGGCACACCCCGTATCCTCTAAGCCAGACATCTGGCCTGCAGCATTGGCAGCAGTGCGCGGGGTGTCAGCAGACTTGGTGGCAAGAGAAAAGTGCAGCCTCGGGGGTTGGGACAGCAATGGTAGCGGGTAGGGCGGCATCCCTGTTGGCCCTTCGCAACCATCCCAGTTTCTTACATGGCCCCTTGTAAAAAATAATTCCCCACTCTACATTATGCTTACAGAGGAAATTTGTATTGAGTGGAGGCAAGCAACTCTACCAAACTACAGTTCCCAGAATTCTTAGTGAAAGCCATGCCAATTTAGACCATTTAAACATGTTCTAAACCACATCTTCAATGAGCAAGTAAAGCAAAAGTCACAGAAGTAACACCCTAGTTTTTCTAACCAAAGAAAAATACTTTGAACTATTAAAAATGCCACAAAGTCCTACACCCTCTGATGTAGATTATCTTTGTCTCTTCCAGATGTGCAGGGAGGGGACTATCATCCCATCACAGCTGGAGAATAGCATTTCTAAAGATGCCACAGCACTTCTCTATCTGAAAGCAGCCGAGACTATTTTATAGTATGAAATACACCAACTCTATACATCAAACTTTCTTTCTTTCTTCTTGCATCCCAACACCACCTCAGACGGTTGTTGTAGGAAAAATAGGAGGGAGTATTAGATAGGTTTGCTACCTTGAGTTGTTTATAAAAATAATAAAAGGCAAGATAAAAATAATGTAAGTATTTTCAGCAGTGCAATTTTAGTCGCCCTCAAAAATCAAGAGGGAAGTGGGAAATGAAGTCCACATCCAAGTTGCCTCATTTCAGTGGCACAATTTGAGTGGCCTTTAAAGGATGGAAATGAGACTTAGGGTGCTTCCAAAAAGCTTTCTATCCTTGTACCGGTTCAACTTTCTGTGAGATCATCCTTAATTCTCCAATAAGATGAGTTGTCTGTCCTCTTAAATATGTGGTTCAGTCTTCCATGGCATGGTATCTTAACACAGCCATTCTGGATGATATCAGTCTGTGTCAGCAATGGACAAAATAAAAAAGATGCGTGTCCTTTTTGTAGTCCCTGAAGATCAGCTGCTGAATTTTGGCAGCAGTTCATTAATAAAGCATGTTTTATCTCCCCCTTGATAATCAATAGTACAACTGAGTAAGGTTTTCAATAGGATCCATCTTTTTTTTAAAAAAAAAAAAAAAGCACCATGCTAATTTGCAAAGCAGCTAAATATATCTGCCACTCCCTAGTATTAAATAAAGGAAAAGTACTGTAGTCCCTGGCTGCAAAAAAAATTCCCCCTGGATTGCCAATTATGGCTTAGCGCAGTTAGTTACTCAGCTCTAAAATATATATGTTTTCTGTTAAGAACAGAATCTAACCGGATAAGAGGATCCATGTTCTGGCCTGCAATTTTCCTAGTTAAAACTACAAATATGCAAAATGAATTGTCAAGAGTGGCAGTGTTTCTAACAGGAGCATGCACTAGTACTTCCCTGCAGAGCGCGCTGTCCCTTGAAAGCAAATCTCACTAGCTTTTCAATCCCATGAACTATCCAGGAATGGTCCATTCCAATGTTTTCACTACCCATTCCCCCAAGGCTAGATACCCAGTTCTTTCTGTCCCGAAGCCAGCATGCTGAGCATGTGAGGTCCTTTTGTGGAAGACACAGCAAATTCTGAGCAAATTTCACATCTTGGCAAGAACCCACCCAAAAAGGATTTGAAGTCACAAAGTAAGAGCTGTTCAAGAAGAGGGAGAGGCCCCCCACCTCACATTAATAGCCACGCCAAGATTCTAAGTTCTCCAAAATGTTGACTATGATTCGATTTCAAGGTTTAATTTTTGCATTTGCACATCATAAATAAACTAACTGTACACAGCATTAAAAGATGCCATATTCACTGCATGCCTTCCACTGACTGGCATTTTCGTGAGTTTTTTTAAAGCTATTTTTTTCAGTAGATAGTGTTTGGCCTCATTTTTCAGCTATTTTCACCAGTACCCGTTCTCACAGGAAAAGTTTACTAATATTTTTTTTAAAAAAACACTCCATAAACGAGCACCCTTTAATCATATAATCGAAAATTCCCAATATGCTACAGTATTAAGGATTACAGGCAATCTTTGACTTACCATTTGTTTAGCAACTGAAGTTGCAACAGCACTGAAATTAATTTATAGAGACAGTCCTCACACTTACGACCACTTCACCACCCTGGACAGGTGCTCTGCTGCAACCTGCATGTATTTACAATGGTTACAGCATCCCAGGATCACATGATCGCCATTTGGGACCTTCCTTCCTAGCCAGCTTCCAACAAGCAAAATGAGGGAAGCAGTTTCCCTTATCAACTGCATAACTGAAGGTTCCTTTAAAAACCATGACAAGTCAAAAAAAAAATAATCCATCATGACTCACTTAACAACCACCTCACATAGCAACAGAAATGTTGGGCGCAATTGTTGGTTTGTAACTTGAGGAGTACCTGTAATCCTCAGGCTCTCATTGGCTGATTCAGCAAGCAAATCTGAAGGTAGCAGGTGTTCTCCCAGAGTGCCAGACAAATTTACCAGTTATAAATGTAGAGTAATTATCTGCCGCACCTGGTGCATTCCAATATACATTCCACCTCCAAACTTCAGCTGTTACTCTTTGGGGGGAAAGCACTACTATGTTGGGATAGTCCAGCTCAAAACCAGGTTAAAAACCCACATAAATATGTCCAGCAGCATTAGCCACTATGACTTTAAAGCAAGATCAAGTTATTCATCTAAGCTCATCGGTGATCTAAAACTGGACCAGGAGAGAAATTTAAGTTTGTTTGTTTTTTGCCATTTTCATCAGCTTCCTTCCAAGATTACCCCACACCGAAATAGGACAAGGTGCACACATCACCATGAGGTTTAGCAGGTAAATCTTGCAGAATAGAGATTTCAATTCCCAGGATCCACACCCAGAAAGGGATGGCAGCTGAAGCTTCCAATACCTGAAGCGCCCCAAGATTGGAGAAGGCTGACACAGCACAATAATATGTGCAGTCACTGCTATATGTGCAAAAGGAAAGCAGAGGAAGGAGACAACCAGGGTTGATTCGAACTCCCACCGCCAAAGAGGGTGAAGATAACTGTTCTTTGGTAAGATGATCTTAAGTCAACCCCCTCCCCAATAACAGGGATGAGCTATTTATCGACCCTGCTTCGCACCCTAGAGAAGAAACCTTTCTCCACTGTAGTCCTAATTATAATCACAAGTGCTCCTATTTAAAAGAGGATATATCCTATAAGGACAAGACAACCTTCATAAAAGTTACTTGCAGAGGTACATTGTACTATTATCAATGCATCCAGGTGCAGGTTGCAGCCATTCATTTCAGGCTGTTTTTTTTTTAAGACAATTCAAACACTTATTGCCCTTTAAGACAATTCAAACACTTATGGGGCGCGCAAAGGAGATTTCCCCATCCTGAACCTTTTTTTGGGGGGGGGGAGAGGAAGGGGGTGTATTTGAATGTTCCAACTGCCTCCCCCTTTCTTGGATCCAGTCCAAGAGAAACTCCACCTGCAGGCTAGAAGACAGTTCTGGCTGATGGGGAAAAAAAAACCTTCCCCCCCCCCAAAAAGCCACCCCCTCCCATTTCAAAGCCACTGACTCTAGAAGAATCCAGCCGCTTGGCTTCCTCACTCCAGTGTCCACGGGATAAGGCATTGGATTGCAAAGGAGAAACAAGGTTAAAAGCCGGCAAAAACCGCCATCCCTCAGCCACACACACACCCTCATTAAAGGTCATGTTACTCTACCTGTTCCCACATGACAAGGCAGTTTCTGACACCACTTCTATGGATTCTGTCTCTCTCTCTTTTTTAAAGTCCTTTGGTACTAAAAAGCAAGACAGCCTATCAACCTTCCTCCTTACCAGGAGGAGAAGCCCCCGACTAGATTTCCTCCCAGTGCCCCGCAAAAGTCCCAAAGCTGATCCAGTTTTAACCCCCACCCTCCAAAAAAAAGGGGGGGGGACTTAGATTTCTCTAGCAGGACACTGGAAGGTTGGAGGGAAGCCCAGGAGAATGCAGATCAGGATGGACAGGATTCAGATCAGTGGTACTCCATCCATTCACCACCCACACCCCCTTGCAGTGGAAAAGGGGTGCGGGTGGGGGGTCAGACAAGTCAAAAAGAGACTTCGGCCAAGGTGGGTCCAACTGACTGGTAGATTAAGACTAGAGGTATATAAAAATGACAGGTGGAGTCCCAAGCATCAAGGCAGGAAGAGTTGCGAGGCGGGGGTGGGTGGCGGTCATCTGTAGCAAGACTTTGCGGGCTTCTCCCTCCCCCCTCCCAAAAAAGCACAGCGTCTATTACTATGACCCCAACCCGGAACCCTGCAGAGATCCCCAAAGCGCAACGACACCCACCCACCCCCACCCGCCCAATATCCTCAAGTAAGCCCAAACGGATGGGAGCGGCAGCTTCGGAAGCCCCCTGGGAGAGAGCCGCCTCCTTTATTCAAGGATGGTGGAGAGTGGGGGGGGGGGGGCTCCATTTCCCAGCAACCATCCCCAAGACGGCCAAGTTACGGGGGCTTTTGGGGAAGGGGGGAGGGCAAGCGAGGGGCGTGGACCAAAACAAAACGCGCGCAAAGCAGGGAGCGCAGTTAAAAACCCGCCGGCATCTGCATCTCCGGCTCGGGTAAATCGCTTTCAAGCCCTTTCTCCCACCCGCCACCCCGGGGCTAAATTCCTTCCCAGCCTTCTCGACCCGATCCGCTCCCTCCAAACGTTACTCGCGATGCAAATCTAAACGCGATGCAAGCAAGGCGGCCAGGGAGTCCCGTGTCGTCGTCGTCCCCCCAACCCGGTGTTGCGCGCCGGCCCCGCTCACCCTTTTTAAACAGCGGTTCGCCTCGGAAACCCGCGTCCAACGACGACGACGGCAGCCCCTGTGGCCGGCGTCCCTCCTGCAACGGCAGCAAGGTTTTTGCAAAGGCGCCCTAGCGCCTCTCTCCACCAACCCCCGCCGGCTTCTGCCTTCTCCAGCCCCGGGGTGCCAAACAGAGAGCAGCGCAGCGGCCGGCCAGCCGAGCCAAGGCGTCTGGAGCGTGGCGTCTCTCGCTTTGCCCAGCGCGCTGGCGGCGGTGGAAAAGGAGGGGGGGGGGAGAGAGAGAGAAACTCGCAGCGCAGCAGCAGCACCAACGTCGACGCCCTCCGCTTCTTTCCCCCAGCAAGCCTCCTCTGGCGAGCTGCCCTGTCCCCCCCAGCGCTGAAATAGCTGTCCCACCCCTTGCAGTGGCTCAGCCACGCCGCGCCCCGATTGGTTGCCGCAAAGCCTCGTCCCACGCCGACCTAGCATTCTCCTCTCGCTGTTCTCTGCCTACATCTTGTTTCATCCCATAATGCCACGAGGAAATTGCAGAACCAATTGGGAGGGGGGGGAGGAGAAAGGTGGTGGTGGGGGAAGAGAGGAGGAGGGAGGGGCGGGGTGGGGTTGGGCTGGAGCGTGCAAGCCGGGTGGGTTGCCTTGTGCTTGTGCAAAAGCCGGGTGCGCGTTTTTTTTTCTTTTTTTGTGCCATGTTTGCAAAAAAAAAAAAATCAAAATCTTTCTCTTTTTTGGGGGTGGGGGGGTCGAGGCAAGCGATCTCTCCGATCCTTAAAACAGCTGCATGCATCCTCCAGGCAGCATTGCAACAGGTAGTTTCCCCCCCCCCCCCCCCCCGTGTTTGCATCGCCAGGGAGGGTTAGAAAGGGAAGGACCTGTTGCATTGCTGGGGTTTCGATCAAGCGGTTGCAAAACCCCATTGGGAGACGGGGTTGCAAAAAAATAAAATATAAAAGCTAAGAATCCCCGTATGAGCGGCTTTTTTTTAAATGATTCCGTGACCTACGGTGTAATCTCAACGCCTATTTTATTTAGGAGCGTAACCCGGTGGGAATTCAAAGCCCAGGAATTCGAACTGCAGGGTTGACTGAGATTCGTAGTGGGGGGGGAAACAAACCATGATTTGGATGAGGGATATAGTTAGGCAGGTTTGTAAAGAGGGAAGGAATAGGAGAATGGATTTTAAAAGGTGTTTTTGCAGCTTTCTTTTCTGCGTTGAAGAAATGTGCGCTTTCCCATCGTTATGGATGTATTGGAAAAATAATTAGTCTTCTACTTGATCGTTTTAAATAAAAATGATCGCTTTCTCGGATACTTCTAGCAGAGGGAGAAAGGAAAAGAGTGCAACAGTTTACCGAATTTCTTTTCAGACTGAATTTTGAAAAGAGTTTACAAGCAACAAATAAAAGAAAACAAGAATTAAAGTTTAGAAAAACCTCAACCATCTTAACAATGAAACAATCAAACGTTAGCAGAAAGTAACTGGGACCTTTTTTTAAAAAAAAAGTTCACTGTAAAAATCCACATTACCATGAAATAGCAGTTTGTTTATCAAATTTATGTAGCTACCTGTCTCACAAATGGGACTGGAGAGCGACAACAAAATGTATTCCTGGAATATCTGGCTAATATGAAAGGTTTAACTTTTTACCAGTTTCCAGAACCCCCATGAGGAAAAGAAAGCAAGATGAGCCAGGCCTGTTTAAAGCTGCATCAAATTTATATTTAAACATTCAGAGGAAAGAAAAATGTTGTTTTTTTATCAAGGTTCCTACTGTTTTGGGAAGCATGCTAAAAAGATGACTATGGATGGTCAAATTGGTGGCAGGACCTGGAGGAAAAAAATAGACTTTAGATGTGATTAAACTTTTATGACATTGATTAAGTGCAGGCCACATAAATAACCTCTGTATTTAACGGGAGAGGAGAGAGAAACATAGTATGGCATCTTCTGAAGAAGCTTTCTACCCAAACTTTTTTGAAGCAGTTCTGGATTAGGGCGTGGGACTGAACTAATTCTAATATTTAAAGGCAGCCTAGGAGACAGGAATACAGTACGAAAGAGATGTTAGATTTACTACACGCTTCTATAAATATGTTTTATACACAGCACCTGACTCATTCACTAAAAGAGTATCAGAATAGTCAAGATTCTTTTCCAAGATAATAGGAAGCTGGAAATACGATACATGCACAAAATATTTTGTTTTTATTAAGGGGGGAGGAGGAAAATATGACAATGGAACGTAATCAAAATGTGAGATGCCTTTGTTCCAACATACAAACCGAGGCAAACGTGGAGCTAAAATTTGGCCTGCAAGTTTTCCGTTCCCTGTTTTGTAGCAGCTTTTATAGCTGATAAAGAACAATTTATTTGAGCAACAAACATCATTTTATTTAGGACAAATTCTAAGCTTCCCCCATCACAGGGCTCCAAATTCCAATCCTTAGGATGGGAAATCAGTTTTATCCATGATTTGAATGAGAGAGTCAAGGGGAGGCCAATCAAATTTGCAGGTGACACCAAACTGGGAGGAGTGACAAATACTTGAATGAAGATTCAAAAAGATCTTAACCTTGCAGGAAAAAAATGTAAGCAACAAGTATAAGAAGGCGAATACAGGTACTTCTTGAGTCGACTTACAGCGGTTCATTTAGTGACGGTTCGAAGTTACAACATCACTGGAAAAAGTGACATGACCATTTTTCACAACCCCATGGTCACATGATTTACAGTTGAATGCTTGACAACTGGCTCACATGTATGACAATTGCAGTATCCAGGAGTCATGTAACCACCTTTTGTGACCTTCTGACAAGCAAAGTCAACGGGGAAACCAGATTCACTTAACAACCATGTTATTAATTTAAAACTGCAGTGGTTCACGCAACAAATGTGGTGAGAAAAGTCCTAAAATGGGGCAAAACTCACTTAACAAATTACTCACTTAACAACATAAATTTGGGGCTCAATTGTGGTTGTAAGTTCATAGTACACATATAGGTAGTCCTTGCTTAATGACCATTTAGTGAACATTTCAAGTTCGGTGGCACTGAAAAATGTTATTGATGACTGGTCCTTGCACTTATGACCATCATAACATCCCAAGAGTCACATGATTGTTGCAGAAAGTTAGCACCCACCCTTCTAGAAGAATGAAATATTCTAGGAAATATTAAAAAGGCAGAATATGATACTGCCCTGCATGAGAAAAGGAGAAATATGCACTTGGAAAGCAGCCCCCACCTTTGTTAATAGTCCCAGAAGACTGGTGCCAACCGATCTACCAGACAAAAGGCCTTCAGGGTGGTAGGATTAGCCCCCACTCAAGATCCAAACCAGGACAAAGCCTGTCATGGCCTGAATCCGAGGAGGAAGCTGAACAGCTGACAGGGAGTGGGAGTGTGGCTCTATTGGCTGTGAAGGAAGCTGGGGAAGGGCAAAGCCCAGCTGGGCAGAGCAGGGGAGAGGTAGAACAAGGGAAAGAGGAAGACCTAGGCCTACCCCCTCTTCATCGTAGGGCACTCAGGGAGGAATGGAGAAGAGGGCAACATGAGCACACAAAGCTTATGGGGGAGGAAAGGGCCCTGATTCCCATCATTAGCCACACCTGGAAAGGGAGTTTAAAAGAGATGCATACTGAGTGCAGCGTCTGCTGGGAACAAACGTGAGTTTATTTTGTGTCAACTTTGGTTATCTGCGGTCCTGGCATCCTCCCAACCGTGTTGAATTACTATCATTCCTTCACATCTGGAATCCCTTCTCTTGCCCTGCCAGACTAATTGCCTCATCTTGCCTTGATTGAACTTATAGTTACAGTTTTTGTTGACCACGTTTTGGACTTGATTCTTTGCAGTCAAAGGCTGTTCCTGGGAGAGTTTTTCTCCAGCCAGAAGGTAACCTGAACATTGGGGGCAAAGTTGGAGCTAATAATGGGACTTCTACTGATTATCTGACTGTGTTGCCTTTGTGCCGCGCTCCGGGTCATCACAAAGCCATAATAGAAATTGCCCAACATCCTTTCAGGACACAACTCTCTTCATTACATCATTACCCAGCAAGATTCAACCAAGCCTAGGACACAGACAGCCTATAAGGTTAGCTAAAATCCCCGCATAGCCCCCTGGGAGTCTGACAACCGATAGGATACTTTTCTTGCAAAGCCCAAGAGAGGGTATACATATATCTCATTCTCCACTCCGTGTGGTCAGCTACCCAGAATCTCACCTGCTTGGTGGTCCTGTTTCACCATCTTTCTAACCAGCCTCCATGTTTCCAATGTCTTTCTCCCCACTTGGAACTGAATCCAGATGGATACTTCTTCCAACTTTGTGATTCGGGTGTGTGACAGCCATTGTGCATTTATGACAGTTGCAACATCATACATTTCACGTGATCACCATTTGTGACCTTTCCCAGCTGGCTCCCAATAGGCAAAATATCACTGGGGAAGCCAGCAGGAAATGTTGCAAGTCACAGTCATGTGATGGCTTACCTAATGACCACAGTGGTTTCTTTAACAAAGGTGGGTTAAAAAAAAAAAGGTCGATAAAATTAGGTGCCCTCACGTGATGCGTCACTTAACAAGTGCGCCATTTAATGATGAATTATCTGGTCCCTATTATGGACTTGAGGACTCCCTATAAAAGGATCTAAACCAGGGATACCAAACTTGGCAACTTTAAGACTTGTGGACTTCAATTCCCAGAGTTCCTCAACCACCTGGTGGCTGAGGAATTCTGGGAGTTGAAGTCCACAAGTCTTAAAGTTGCCAAGTTTGGAGATCTCTGATCTAAACTAAATCTAAAACTAAAGCCAGCAATGTGATGCAGGTGCTAAAAAAAAAAAAAAATACAGTGGTAATCTTGGGGCTTAATCCTACTGGTCCGAATACTACTGGCCATCCTTAAGATGCTAAAAACCCAGGCCTTCAGCCAGAACATGGGATGAGCCCCTCCAAAAATGAAAGATCTGGATTGTGATAGCTGGCCTCACTTATTCTGCTTTTCTCTTCTGGATGTTTGCTGTTGTTTGATTTTCTAATTCTTTTTATGTTTCTAGCCAATTGAAAGCCAACCAGAATTGCTTTTGTGAGTTATGTGTGCAGCCGCAGAAATAACATAAATAAATAAAATGCAATTCCCTCTAAGTAGAGATGTAGCGATGTGTGTTTGGTACAAGAAATACTGTCTTCATACACACGCTGATAGGATTTGAGCTGTCTGAAAGGCATCAGATATTGGGTGTCATTGTGGACAGCCCAATAATGAGGTTGACTTGGCATGTAGCAGCAGAGAAAAAGGAAAATTTCCATAAGCAGGAAAGGGATTGAAAATAAAAATGCCTTTTAGCAATGACGTGTTCACCAGT